TTGGGTCACAACCAGAGTCGTGGAACGGATTAAGTTCGTGAGCCAAGGTACCACTGTATTTCACCTTCATTCCTCCCCCACATGCACGCACGTGCATGCACACACATTTTCTTCCTTGTAACACACTCCCACTTACTAGTAGGGCTGTGTTGCTAACCTTTACTGAAGACATTTGAAAGCTCCAGATGTTACAACATCCCCCCAAAGACAGAATCACTAAGGTTCACAAACAATGAACCAAGGAGACTCCGCAGTGGTGGCGGCCTGCAACAACTGCAACAGCTCTGTGCTAGTAGCTCTGTTACAAGAAAAAGGTGTGAGCACTGGAGCAACTAGTGTCCATCCTCCAAATAATAAAAGATTTTAGACAGACTGGAGGAGCTGCCATAGCTAAGTGTAATCCAGAAGCAAGAAAAGCCTCAGCGAGCTGGGGTAGGAGAAGAGAACCCTGAGGGAAGGGAAAATGAGGAAGCTCCCTGGAAAAGGGTGACAGTTAGACACAGAAGACCTAGAAAACACTCTGTACCAGTGGAAGAAGTGGAACTCATGAACTGCTTTAAGTTACTTGAAGAAGAAACCCACTGAGAAAGAACTATACAACACACTGTGTAACTCTGAAAAAGAGACGAAAGTCCAATCAAAAAAGGAAAAGTAACAACAAAGTTTGCAACAACAAAAAGAGAAGAATGCTAGGTGTGTCCCTTTTGTGCAAGATGGAAAAATATGTATGCTGTGATGACCCATAGAATTCCCAAGTATGCTTTCTCCCTGGCACCAAGATTAAAGATATGACCAACAAGTTCGCACAGTTCATACAACCCACTAACAAATATCTCTTCCTTCTCTTCCACATGTCAACTAAAGATGCTGCCAGGAGAAGCTTCACTGAAATAACATCAGACTTCAAAGGTCTAGGGAGGATAATAAAAAACACTGGGGCCAAAATAGTCTTCTCCTCAATCCTATCAGTACTTAGGAAAAGAAAAATCTTTCAAGTGAATGACTGGCTACGATGGTGGTGCTGTAAAGAGAGATTTGGATTCTGGGACCACAAGCTAAGGTTCCTGGAAGACGGACTATTGGCAAACGATGGGTTGCACCTCACAGAGAAGGGGAAGCAGATGTTTTGTCACTCTATGAAAAAGTTCATCAGAGGGGCTTTAAACGAAAACATATACGGGAGGGAGATGTGCAGCATGGTGTACCATCACCTGGCAAAGACATCTATTTCAACAGAGAAAAAACTTGAAGCAGGGCCCAACACCAGTCTCCCAAATGCATAGGAAGAAAACCAGGGCACAGTCAGAATGAACACTGATATCTCGACAACAATGCCCAGAGTATGGGAAACAAACAACACAAACTTCAGGTCAAAGTACGATGGATACCCTCAGAACCACTGGCTATTATCTTGGAAAACAGGAGAAGTGCCAGATGACTAGAGAAGGGCCAATGTTCCCCATCTTCAAAGAGGGGGAAAAGATGAACCTGGGAACTATAGACCAGTTAGTCTAACATCAATCCCTGGAAAAATTATGGAGCAAATTATCAAAAAAATCCATTTGCAAGCATCTTGAAGAAAATGCAGTGCTTAATAGAAGCCAACATGAGTTTATTAAAAATAAATCCTGTCAGACTAATTTAATCTCATCTTTTGACTGGGTAAGCTTCCAAATGGACAGAGGGAACACCGTGGACATAATCTACCTAGACTTTAGCAAAGCTTTTGACATAGTGCCACATGACATTCTGATAAGCAATTTAGCAAAAACTGGACTAGACAGAAAAACTATTAGGTGGATCCAAAATTGGCTGCTGAATCAAGTGCTCCTCAATTGCACCTTCTGAAATTAGATGGCAGTAACTAGAGGGTGCCACAGGGGTCAGTCCTGGGCTCAGAGCTCTTCAAAATCTTTATTAATGATATATATGAGGAAGTACAAGGAAAGACAGTCAAATTTTCAGGGCAAATTGCACTATCAGAGTAATATGACAGTGGAACCAAGCTGCCTAGAGAGGTGGTGGGCTCTCCCACACTAGAGTCTTTCAAAAAGAAACTGGACAGCCATCTGAGTGGGATGGTGTAACTTGGTGTCTGACAATAGAAGGGGGTTGAACCCAGCAGCCTTCATGGCCCCTTCCAACTCTACTATTCTATAATTCTATTCTATGAAGTAAAGTTTTTTCTATCACCACAGCTGCAACTCAAGAAAATCTTCAACTACTATCTATTTGCCATGGAACTAATAAACTCATAAACATTACAAATCCATATAGCAACATAATGCAAATATTATCTACCAAACTAAATAACACCTCTCTCCCTTGTCCCCCACACACATGTGAATACAGATATTACCTATGGAAATCAGGCCCACAGTGAAACAGAAAAAAAGGCCTAGGATGAAGATTGGTAACAAGGGTCAGCCTTGGAATATGAGCAATAATGATGTGCCTTCGAGCATGTGTGGAATAACAGCACTCACCAAAGAACCAGCATCAGATATGAGGGACAGGTATTTTTAAGTCAAAAACAGCATGACTTGAACACAGGCAAAGATGACAAAGATACCAGAAGAATGGATTGGACTAAAGATCCAATTGCTGAATTAGACTAAAGGTCCATCTTTTTCAGCATCTTATATCCAACAGAGGCATCCAGGTACCTCTGGAAAGCTGACAAGGTGGGCATGAGACAATAGCTATCTTCTGCTTTTTTTCAGCAACTGGTGTTCAAAGGTCCATTGCCTCTGAACACTGGTCACTTTGGAAATTCAATGCTGACTGATATCCACAGCATTTTGCCTAAAAGAGCCCGAATCACTGCCCTATTGCTAGAAAAGTTACAGTGGTAGTGGCAATCCGGGCTCATGCTTCTTGATAGTCTCTGTCAAGAGGTTTTCAGAAATAACCAAAGTACTTGTCAGGGAGATGCAGGAACAACAGACAGAAATGGTAGAATCCAGACTGATTGTTAATCTCATTTTTTGACTGAGTAACCTCCCAAATGGACAGAGGAAACACTGTGGACATAATCCACCTAGACTTTAGCAAAGCTTTCAACATAGTGCCACACGACATTCTGATAAGCAAATTAGCAAAAAATGGACTAGATGGAAAAACTATTAGGTGGATCCAAAATTGGCTGCTACATCGGTCACAAAGAGTGCTCATCAATGGCACCTTCTCAAATTGGATGAAGGTAACTAGTGGGGTGCCACAGGGTTCAGTCCTGGGCCCAGTGGTCTTTAACATCTTTATTAATGATTTAGATGAAGAAGTACAAGGAATGATAATCAGATTCACAGATGATACAAAATTGAGTGGAATAGCAAGCACCCTAGAGGACAGAATGAAGATCCAGAGCAATCTTGATAAATTAGAACACTGGCTGAAACCAACAGAATGAGATTCAACAAGGGCAGGTGCCAAGTCCTCCACCAAGGAAAAAGAAATGAAATATATCGATACAAGATGGGGAATTTGTGGCTCAACCAGAACTGAACAAGAAAAAGATCTCGGAGTAATTGTGGACAATAGGCTAAACATGAGCCAACAATGCGATGCAGCCGCCAAAAGGGCAAATGCTTTTTTGGGATGCATTAACAGAAGTATTACTTCCAAATCATGAGTAGTAGTAGTTCCTCTATACTCCTCACTAGTCAGACCTCACCTTGAATACTGTGTCCAGTTCTGGGCATCAAGATTTAAGAAAGATGCAGGTAAATTAGAAAGGGTCCAGCAGAGGGCAACAAAAATGATCCAGGGTTTGGAAACACTGCCCTATGAAGAGAGACTGAGGGAACTGGACATGTTCAGCCTGAGAAGAGCAGACTGGTGGTCATGGTGGGGGAACATGATATCCCTCTATAAGTACCTCAAAGGCTGTCACAAAGAGAAAGGTCAAGATCTCTTCTTGCTGATGCCAGAGTGTAGGACATAGAATAATCAATTCAAGTTGCAACAACCCAGATTCAATCTGGATGAGAGGAAAAGCTTCCTCACTGCCAAAGCAATACAACAGTGGAACCAGCTGCCTAGAGAGGTGGTGGGCTCTCCCACATTAGAGTCATTCAAGGCAAAACTGGACAGCCATCTGAGTGGGATGGTGTAACATGGTGTCCTGGAACAGCAGTGGGTTGGACCCAATGGCCTTCATGGCCCCTTCAGACTCTACTATTCTATGATTCTAAGTAAGGGAACTACAGTAAATGGTCTAAGCTGCCTGTGCTTCATATAGTATTAATCAGCACAATCATCAAACTCTGAATGGCATATGTGAATGTTCTAGGGAATTCTACTTTAGTTTTCTCTGTCCAACTTTTTAATGTTCCCCTTCCAGTTCTTATCAACTTTTTACTAAATAAGATGTGTTGTCCCATTCTCACAGCTCTATTTAACCTGCCTTTCATAAAAACCTGAGATGATTACACAACAGACACATCAGCCAATGGAGCCACTCAGCAAAATATTTTGTAGAGGAAAATATATTTTTAACAGATAAAATGTTGCACATTGATATCTAACTATCTGAAGTGTTGCAATAATGTGAATATGGACATTATTTTTTCTTACAAATTGGTTAGTAGCCATTTGCGTGTACAACAGGCTACCTGAAAATGGCCCACCACAATTGATTTATTTCAATAAATATTTGAATAATGTTTCCACTATTTTTGATGGAACAAGCTTATCTTCTCCGGGACATTACAGCTGTTATTTAAAGAATATTTTGCCCTCTACAATGGTAACTAGCAATGCCCAGGCATGTTTTCAATGTGCATGATACAGCAGTCCTGTTACTAAAATAAAGTTTGGTTGTGACTAATGTCTGGACTACCCAAGAACCCTAGAAGAAAGGTGGGTATTACTTCAATACATTTAAATAAATTAACTATATGTGCATGTTAATACTCTTCTGATAATAGCTGGAATGAACATATTGACTTACCGATAAAATTTACAAACAAAGTTAGTATATGCTCAGTGCCATTATTTACCTTAAGCCCACCACAGACTGGACAGGATGAAAAGACAGCTTGCATTGTCCCTGAAGGAGAGCTACATATTTCACATGGGCTACTGGAGAGTCCGCCGAAAGCTGTTACCTCAGCACTTCTAGAGTCTAACCCCTGTCCTTTCTGTTTTAGATGTGACCATCTTGACACAAAATTAGGACTTGCTTCAGGGAGTTGGTCTTTGGTACTTTCTATAGAAAGGGTTGCCTGTAGTCCCTTTTCTAGGCTGTGTTCAGGAGCAGCTTGTGTTTCCAGATACGACGCTGGGAATTTCAGATCACTAATTCTTTGAGGTGCCTGGTCCTTGGACAGTGATGAATCTGCACTTTTATTTTGTAAATCTTTAGCAGATGCCTGTAACAAACTCCTGGGGGTGTCGTACATATGCCTAAGGTTGCTGGGAACCTGATACTCCAAGCCAGGACTCCTCTGCTGCTCACCAGTTGGGCAAGTGCATGCATTCTGGTCTGAAGAAAGGTTCAATGGCAGGCTCAGCAGCGATCCAAATTCATCACCGTGGCAAATGTCTAGGCTTCCAGCATAGGAGGAGATACTTCCAGAGTACGAAGAGTGACTTCCAGTAGCTATTCCACTGTCAGAAGAACTTTGGCGACCAATTTCTTGTAGCTGCCGAGAGTGAAGAAGCTTAGAAGGTGGCTTGATGATGCCACGGATAGCTTCTGAATGAGACCTTTCTTCTCCAAGATGAATGCCTTTAGCTACAGGCAGTCCATGACTCTCCTGAGAAGCACTGGTTGAAGACTGATCAGGCCAAATAATCAATTTGTTCCCAATGCTAGTATCAGAGTGACTTGTGTCTGAAGATGAGCTTGATAGACTTTTGTCATCACCTAAGATGTAAGACAGGAGGGTAATATATGAGAACAGTTTTCACAGGAATGCAAAAAGATAGCTGGGTTTTCCCTCATCCTGCAAATGGAACAACAGAGTTTGGCAGCTCAGATAGCTACAGGCTGGTGCATCTTTAGGGTCATACATTCTTGAAAGTAGAATGTATTACTGGAAAAATGTTTGCTTGGTTTTATTTCCCACTTTTTTTCCTTTCAAGGAACTCGGCAGCTTATATGATCCTCCTGCTCCTCTATACTTGCAACAACAACCCTGTGGGGTAGGTTTGGCTGAGAGTTCATAAGTCACCCACTGAGATTCATGGCTGAGTGGGGACTAGAACCTGGAGCTCCCAGATCCCCAGGGATTTCTGACTTAGGAGGGGCATTCAATGTATTCTCGGTATCAGCATGAAGAAAAAGGAATAATAAATTGAAATAATTTTTATTTTTCAATGTAATCCCCCATAACTTCAATACACTTATTACATCTAGAAATTAACTTTTTAATTCCCTGTAAAAAATACCCTTCCTCCTTGTCTAAAAAAATGTGCATTAATTGCTGCCTTGAGCTCTTCATCGTCGGAAAATTGCTTTCCACGAAGATCTTTTTTTAAATTCGGGAATAGGTAGTAGTCACTGGGGGCCAGGTCCGGGCTATAGGGTGGGTGGTTTATTTCTTCAAAACCACAGTCTCGCACTGCAGCTGTCGAAACATGCACCGTGTGAACGGGCGCGTTGTCGTGAAGCAACACACCTGTGGTCAGTATTCCCCACCTTTTTTCTTTAATTGCTTCTCTTAAATTATGCAGAGTGGTTGTGTAAGATGCTGCGTTTATGGTTTCACCTTTTTTCATGTACTCGATCAATAAAATTCCCTTTGAGTCCCAAAACACTGTGGCCATGATTTTTCCGGCCGATGGAGTAACTTTGAATTTCAGCACCATTTTTATGCCACTGCATGGACTCCTGCTTACTTTCAGGGTCATAGTGATAAACCCAAGTTTCATTTCCAGTAACAATCCGGTCGAAAATATTCGATGGATCTTCACCACAGAGCTCTAAAACCTCCTGGCAGCACTCGACTCGCACTTGTTTCTGAGGCGCCATGAGCATTCATGGCACCCATCTTGCACAGACCTTTGAAAGGTTAAGATGGTCATGAAAAATAGTAAATATGATACCAACGGATAGGTTTGTCATCTGTGCTAACATTTTTATTTTTATTCGGGCATCTTCCAAAACAAGTTTCTCAATTTTTTCCACATTTTCTTTCGTAGTGTCAGTAACCGGCCCGCCCGAGCGAGGGTCGTCTTCAATGCTTTCTCTGCCCCTTTTAAATTCACTTGACCACTTCTGAACAGTAGATAATGAAGGTGCAGAGTCCTGGTAAATGGCCACCTTCTCTTCATGAATGATTTTTTGACTTTTTCCTTGTTTTATAAAGAACTTAATCACAGCGCGGTGCTTGATTTTCTTCAACATTGTCGCGTCAGTCATCATGGTTGTCTTTCACTGAGGATTACTAGGGAACTAATGATCACGCTTATTTGAAGTTTTGCATGTATACCCTCAGAAAGTGTCATTAGCTAATGAAATAATTCAATTACCCACATCAATAGTAAATCAACTCGATACCGAGAATACATTGAACACCCCTCACATGGGTAGCCATGGTTTGGAGCATTTCCTGGCTGGTGGCTTCTTTCCTCCTCAACCCACTCTTCAGCACATTGAGTAAATTTACTGACATCTCCCACTACCTATTCCAAGGTAACTGTTTCATAAATAACAGCTGGTCCTCTTCTCCTTTCTTAGCTCAGTAGTGTAATATTTATGGATCATTTATTAATAGAAGTTGAGCAAATAATCTGTGCAACAACCTGCCATGTTACCCACAATTTATTGCCATTTTGTGTAAACCTGGTCAATAACACTAAAATAGTCTTGACTAATACAATTGAGGAGTTTTAGCAAATTTAAAGAATCTAGATTTAGAGACTGATATGTAAATAAGAATGCAATTAACCATCAGTTTTTGCACTTCTCTGAATTTTGTAGTGCAAATGAAATTGCATCCCAATTTCCTATGAATTTTAATGCACACAGAAATATGTACAAATATTTGTGCAGACTTATTAATGTTCACCAATGGATATAAAAATGGGACAGAATGAACAAGTGTTTAACATGTGAGAGTTATAGAAGGTGAAACAGATAGATTCATCCACCTTTAACTAAATTATGGCAGTACGTTCAGTAACAGAATAAAACATGAACTTAAATTACACTTTAAGTTCTTACCTCCACTGCCATGGTAACCTGTACAGGACAGAAGGCTGAGGCGCTTCTCTAACTGCAAAGCTTCCTGGGCCACTCTCTCTTCTGTGCATGCTGGATTTGTATTAGGATCTTAAAAAAAACACACACACACACACACACACACACAGACACAGTTCAATTATAATTGGCTAAAATTAACCTTTCACTTTACGAGCCAAGTAGAGCACCAAGAGGAAGCTTTGTTTTACCATCTGTAAAAGCACTAACTGTACCATCTTAGCCATGTCTCACAGAACACCTCTTCTGTCCTACTATACTAAATGTTAAAACAGCCTGAGCTCTGACAACCCCTCCTAGCAGCAATTCTGTGGCAATGGAATAGGAAACTCTATTCTGTTCAATGAGGCTGGCAGCATATAATAATCACAAGGGGACATCTAATATTTTGCTTTAATGCAAACCCAGTTGCATTAACTTTTCTTTCCCCATCTAGCTTTCAGGCTATGATCATGGACAGAGCAAGGGGTACAGCTGTGCTAGGTGTTCCAGCCCTGCCACTTCTCCCCAGACTGAATTCAGCCTCTTGGTATTAAGAATCTCAGGAATATTCTCTCCTATGTACCTCTACCCTGCCTGCTCACATACATACTTCCAACCCTTCCAGTATCTTTTGAAAATCTCCCCCCACCCAATGAGAAGGTGGTGTTGCCTTTGCTCCTTTTTGTGCAAGATGGCCTATTTATTATAGGCAATATAATAACATTATATTATTAAATTAAATTTATTAAATATAAATAAATAAATAAGAGGTCCGCCTGGTGCCATCATTATTTGCTTTTCGGCGCCAGGCAAAGACCTTTTTATTTAAAAGTTATTTTAACTTTTAATTTATTATTATTGTATTTATAGATTTTAATATGTATAGCCGAGATGGTACCAGTTTTTAAATTATTAATTTTTATGAATGTTGTGAGCCGCCCCAAGCCTTTGTTGTGATGGGGGCAGCATAGAAATGTTTTAAATAAATAAATAAAATATTTACTTTATGCTACAGACACTAATGAAAAATATGTTAGCTATTGCCTGCACAGACCTAGTCTTTCATTTACATAATATTATCCTTTCCCAGTGTTAGGAGGTTGGGACAGACTGATAGGAACTTTCTTATATATACAAGAGAGGATCATCCCAACTCTTAATAGAAGAGCAGCACTTCTGTAAAACACAATGGTTGGTCATAGAAGCCAAAAAGGAACATTGCAGACAAATGTATTATATGTTTACGTTAATGTAGTCTAGAAGTCAAGATGGGGAAGATGGAGTACATGGTAATATTGAGACATAACAGAAACAAGGTGGAATGAAAGGAACCAGTAGGATATGGTTATCTTTGGCTACAAACTCTGTATGAAGGGCAGAGAAGTACATATTAGTGGTGTTACTAATGTGAACTAGAAATTTCAAAGTGAGTACTCTCCACCACAAAATTACTATGGATGTCAATGCCCCAAAGGTAATATATTGCTCCCGTGACTGAAATGTCCAAGATGATATTAAGATGGATAAAAAAAAAATCAGGGAGGCACCCAAAGGTATAATATTGTGTGGCCTCAATTATTGTCACATAACAGGGAGTACATGCACGTTCCTGTCATGGCAAAGAAGCCATGGCTTTGACTAAAAAGCCACGTTCTACAGCAAAAGACCATGGAACTAGATAGAGTCAAAGTTCAGAAGGGAAGCCCAAAATCTGGTGTGAGATTTATGTATTGTTGAATCAACTAGAAATACTTACCATGGTACTATCCAATTCAACATAAATGTAAATGACAATTGCCAAGAAAGTCCAGTATAGTTATATTGGATTTCAAAAAAGGAAACTTCTCAAAAATGAGGCAACTGGTGAAAAGGAAATTGAAAAGTAAAAATGGTCAAATTTCCGCAGAATGTGTTTGGGTGTTATTTAAAATAGCAACAATGGAAGCTCAATTAGGAAGTATACTGCAGGTAAGGAGAGGCAGGACAAAGAATAGGAAGACATCAGCATGGTTAACGAGCTGTGTCAGGAAAGACCTTAATAGAAAGTGGGCTTTCTTCAGAAAATGGAAGTCATGCTAAAACATGGGGGAAAAACAAAAAACATAAAATTGCACAAAAGAAATGCAAGGCAAAAATAAAGGGTGCAAAAAGGGGGGCAGGTGAGAAGTATACTGCTAACAACATTAAAACCAACAACTGAATAAGTCTTTAAATACATCAAAAGCAATCAACTGGCTAGGAAGGCATCCAAGGACCACTGGATGACAACAGAATTATGGGAGTACTAAAGGAGTACAAGGAGATTGCAGTGAAAGCTGAATAATTTAATTTGTCTTCGCTGCAGAAAATACAGGGCAGACAAGCGTTCCTCAACCGATATTTTCAGAAAGAGAGTCTGAGGAATTGAGACAAATCATGGTGACAAGAAATGAAGTGTTAATGCTCTTTACAAATTGAAACAAACAAGCCCATCTATTCAGATGGTAAAGAATTCAAAAGATCCAATGAGCATCCACAGTGAAAAAGACTAATTCCATGGTGGGCACATATAGGAAAAGATTGTAAAACAGAAGTGCCAATGTCATACTATTTCTGTAGAAATCTATTGTGCTATATGCTGCATATTTGGAATGTATCATATGGTTCCACACACTGCTTCCCTTAAAGAATTTTGTAGGCTGAGAAAGATGAGAAGGGGGCAACAAGAAAGGTCAGGGATGGGACTACTTTCTCTATAAAATATACAATATTTAGGGTATTCCAAACTGGGTTCATTCTTTCCCCCAGAATTATAATCCAAGAGTAAGAACTGAGCATGTGAGGGAAATGGATGGCTTCTTGCTCCTACATGCTTATTTGACTAAAGTTGGCGACAGTGGGCAGATAGAAAGACATCACTCTTTTCCTTCCTTGTACCTGGAATATGGTCGCATGCAGGGAAGGACAGAAAGAAGGGTGTGAGGAGAGGGAAGTCTCTGTTCAGTTCCACTGTCAGAGCTGCTGGAGCTACCACTAGAAACTAGCAAACAGCAGGTGGCAGAGTTCAGGTTTTACGGGTGGGCAAGGGTGTGGGGTGCATGCCTGGATGCGAGGGTGGCAAATAGAAAAATATTTAGAGCAATCTCCAAAGTCATTAATAATTGCAGGGCCAAACTGAAAATGAGCCAGGGGATTTCACCCTCAGCTACACTAAACCAATGGCAATATTGTGCTCCAAGCTTTCCTGAGAGGGAAGAAACGTACCTACAAAATACATTACCTGCCAAATTCCACTATTTCAGAGCTCCTGGCTTAACTTGCCAACCACTGATCTTCACATTAGTTTGACACAGCTTTGGAAATAGTTAATGCACCTAGCTCAGATTATCTTTGTTTCTGTTATTACTTAGCTTTTAAATATTATATGCAGTTAGATAATCTAAGGCAACATCTAGCAGCAAAAATATGAACAATAGAGCAGATGAAAGCTGGCATGTCAAAATGTATACCCATTTATATTTTGATATTAACTGATAGCAGTCATTTTGCAGTAGATATATCCTGGCTTCTGGAACCATCTGGATTCGAATCAGAGCAAAATGCATTATTCAAGGTGGGTTCCTTCTTTAAATAATTATCCTATTATTAACCTGGTAAGGCTGGATGTAAGCCAAAAGAGCCTTTCATTGGAGAGATGCCATGAACAATGCAGTCAAAAAGAAAGCTAATCTTCTCTCCTTCGGTACAAGAGAGGAAAAAGACACCAGCCCCTGCAAGAAAGCAAAATATTTAAGGTGCATTTTAGGACAGACATACTTAGATGATATATCTATGTTAAGCTAAGAAAATTCTGGAAGTTAGGAAATCATGCAAGGAAACCTAAGAAATAATTTATACTTTATCTTGGCTATAACATTGCCTCCAAAATGGCCTTAACCTTAGAGGAGCCCCATACATGTCCCATTTAAGAGGCCCTTAGCCTGTAAATTATATTGTGCTTCTGCACTAAGCACCTGTATACTAGATTAGTGTGGACAATTAAGGCTGCCTCTCTTTGTGAAGAAGGTGAAATACCAACATCAAAGGGGATGTCAGTGTTGTAAATGTGTCACTAGAACTTTCCCTTTGTGAAGCAAAATAAAATGACTGGGCTTTTATCCTAATGGCAATCATAACAAAAAACACATAGTTAAAGCAAGCCTTCTTTAATGTGGGTTGGAAGCCATAAACTTGGTATGATGAAAACATTTGATCTTCTATGAAGCATTGCTGAGTAGCTTGTTTCTGTAGAGGTTAACAGAAACCCAATTCTCTCAAAATTTATTCTTACTATCTTCCCTGCTTTTACATGATCCTATCATAGAACACTGTCTTAGAAATTTGCCAAATGTCTATTTTTTTCTTGCACTGTCAAAAAGCACCTCCATTTTTCAGCATGCTTTTAGTTAGCCCCTGGAAGGGAGCTTAAAGAGATTGTGACCCACGGTATGCTTGGTGGGACAGAACTGTACACAGTGCCCTTCTATGACATGCTGGCCTACATCCTGACTGTGCATTCAAACTGTCAGGATCACCAGGGACTTCGAGACCTTGGGGAAGAAACTCAGGGACCTAAAGGCCCAAGTGGCCCTCTCATCTATCTTACCAGTCCGGGGATTTGGTCCAGGCAGGGATAGGAGGGTAGCCGAGGTGAATGACTGGCTTAGGGTGTGGTGCCAGAAGGAACGCTTTGGGCTCCTCGACCATGGCATCCAGTTTCTTGCCAATGGACTTCTGGCAAGGGATGGGTTGCACCTCATGAGGATGGGGAAAAGGTCCTTCAGGAATGCTCTAGCAAGCTTTGTCTGGAAGACTTTAAACTGAGCCGGGGGGTGGGTCAGGCCCCCCAGAAACTTGTCCACACTGGACAAGTGTGAGGAGAGGATCAGGGTTCTGGGACCAGGGTTTTAGAGGTACTGCTGGGACTGACAGGAGTCCTACGAAGAGAGGACCGGTATCAGGGAAGACGGGAAGGAGGAGGAGGATGGGGACTCCAAAGCAAGAAAGCTGTGGGAAGGAGCTGAGGTGCATGTATACCAATGCAAAGAACATGGGAAATAAGCAGAAAGAGCTTGAAGCTCTCCTGGGAATAGGAGGGTATAGAAACAAAGAAACAGAGTGAGTCAGAAGGGGCCTCCTGGGTCATCTAGTCTGACCTTCAGCACCAGATGGCTCCGCTCACGACATGCCCACCATGTGCACGTCCAGCCATGGAAACTGGTGGAATAAAAGGCAAGTCTGGAATGTAAACATAGAGGGATATCACTTGTTTAGAAAGGACAGGAAGGGAAAGAGGGGTGGGGGGCGTACCATTATATGTCAGGGAAGGATAGGATACAGTGAGATAGAATGCAGCACAGATGTGAATTTGGTGGAGGCAGTCTGGGTGAAACTAAGGGGTTTTGACAGGGAAAGGGACCTGACAGTGAGCTTTGACAGATTGTATCTAAAACCCCACATCTCAGCAATTGACAGGACTAACATCCTGAGGAACTTGACTGTAGCTCTATAAAAAGCAGTCCAAGGGCACCATGCTGTTGTTGTTAGTGGCAAAGTCGTGTCTGACCCATCGCGACCCCATGGACAACACTCCTCTAGGCCTTCCTGTCCTCCACCATCTCCCAGAGTCCACTTAAGCTCACACCAACTGCCTCAGTGACTCCATCTAGCCACCTCATCCTCTGCCGTCCCCTTCTTTTTTTGCCATCTATTGTTCCCAGCATTAGGCTCTTCTCCAGGGAGTCCTTCCTTCTCATTAGGTAGTGAAAGTTTTTGAGTTTCATCTTCAATATCTGGCATTCAAAGAAGCAGGCAGGGTTGATCTCCTCTAGGACTGACTGGTTTGATAGCCTTGCAGTCCAAGGGACTTGCAGGAGTCTCCTCCAGCACCACAATTCAAAGGCCTCAATTCTTCGGCGCTCAGCCTTCCTTATGGTCCAGCTTTCACAGCCATACATCGCAACTGGGAAAACCATAGCCTTGACTATACGCACTTTCTTGGGCAGGGTGATGTCTCTGCTTTTTAGTATGCTGTCTAGATTTGCCATAGCTTTCCTCCCCAGGAGCAAGCAACTTTTAATTTCTTGGCTGCAGTCCCCATCTGCGGTGATCTTGGAGCCCAGGAAAATAAAATCTGTCACTCCCTCCATTTCTTCCCCATCTATTTGCCAGGAAGTGAGAGGACCAGATGCCATGATCTTAGTTTCCTTAATGCTGAGTTTCAAGCCAGCTTTTGCACTCTCCTCCTTCACCCGCATCAAGAGGCTCTTTAGTTCCTCTTCACTTTCTGCCATGAGAGGGGTATCATCTGCATATCTGAGGTTGTTGATATTTCTCCCAGCAATCTCAATTCCAACTGGTGATTCATCTAGTCCCGCCTTTCTCATGATGTGCTCTTCATATAAGTTAAATATAGGCAGGGTGACAGTATACAGCCTTGCCAAACTCCTTTCTCAATTTTGAACCAATCAGTGGTTCTATGTCCAGTTCTCACTGTTGCTTCTTGACCCGCATATAGGTTCCTCAAGAGACAAATAAGATGGTCTGGTACTCCCATCTCTTTAAGAACTTGCCACAATTTGTTGTGATCCACACAATCAAAGGCTTTAGCATAGTCAATGAAGCAGAAGTACATGTTTTTCTGGAACTCCCTAGCTTTCTCCATGATCCAGAGTATGTTGGCAATTTAATCTCTAGTTCCTCTCCCTCTTCGAAATCCTGCCTGTACTTCTGGTAGTTCTCAGTTCACATACCGCTGGAGCCTAGCTTGTAGGATTTTGAGCATCACTTTGCTAGTATGTGAAATGAGTGCAATGGTGCAGTAGTTTGAACAGTCTTTGGCATTGCCCTTATTTGGGATTGGAATGTAAACTGACCTTTTCCTATCCTGTGGCCACTGTTGAGTTTTCCAAATTTGCTGGCATATTGAGTGTAGCACTTTTACTGCATTGTCATTTAGGATTTTGAATAGCTCAATTGGAATATTGTCGCCTCCACTAGCATTGTTGTTGCTCAGACTTCCTAAGGCCCATTTGACTTCACATTCCAGGATGTCTGGCTCCAGGTCAGTGACCACCCTATTGTGGTTATCAGGGACGTTAAGCTCTTTCTTGTATAGTTCTTCTGTGCAAGCTTGCCATCTCTTCTCAATCTCTTCTGCCTCTGTTAGATCCCCGCCATTTTGGTCCTTTATCATGCCCATCTTCACATGAAATGTTCCCTTCATATCTCCAATTTTCTTGAAGAGATCTCTGGTGCTCCATATTCTATTGTTTTCTTCTATTTCTTTGCACTGTTCATTTAAGAAGGCCTTCTTATCTCTTCTAGCTATTCTCTGGAATTCTGCATTCAATTGTTTGTATCTTTCACTTTCTCCCTTGCCTTTTGCTTCCCTTCTTTCTTCAGCTATTTGTAAAGCTTCCTCAGACAGCCATTTTGCTTTCTTGCATTTCTTTTTCTTTGGGATGGTTTTAGTTGCTGCCTCTTGTACAATGTTGTGAACCTCCGTCCATAGTTCTTCAGGCACTCTGTCTATCAGATCTAATTCCTTAAATCTATTTGCCACCTCTACTGTATATTCATCAGGGATATGATTTAGGTCATACCTGAGTGGCCTAGTACTTTTCCCTATTTTCTTCAACTTAAGCCTAAATTTTGCAACCAGAAGCTCATGATCTGGGCCACAGTCAGCTCCTGGTCTAGTTTTTACTGACTGTATAGAGCTTCTCCATCTTTGGCTGCAGAGCACATAGTCAATCTGATTTCTGTGTTGACCGTCTGGTGATGTGTCCATGTGTAGAGTTGTCTCTTGGGATGATGGAAAAGAGTGTTTGCTATGACCATCGTATTATCTTGACAAAATTCTACCAGCCTGTGCCCTGCTTCATTTTCTACTCCAAGGCCAAACTTGCTTGTTATTCCAGTTATCTTTTGGCTTCCTTCTTTAGCATTCCAATCCCCTATGATGATAAGGACATCATTTTTTTGGTGTTATTTCTAAAAGGTGTTGTAGGCCTCCATAGAACTGGTAAACTTCAGCCTCTTCGGCACCAGTGGTTGGGGCATAGACTTAGACTATTGTGATGTTGAATGGTTTGCCTTGGATTTGAACAGAGATCATTCTGTCATTTTGGAGATTTTATCTCAGTACTGCTTTTCCTACTCTTTTATTGACTATGAAGGCTACTCCATTTCTTCTGAGGGATTCTTGTCTGCAGTAGTATACCTGATGGTCATCTGAATTGAATTCACCCATTCCTGTCCTTTTTAGTTCACTGATTCCTAAGATGTTGATGTTCAGTCTTGTCATCTCTTGTTTGACCACATCCAGCTTGCCTTGATTCATGGATCTTACATTCCAGGTTCCTATGGAGTATAGATCTTTACAGCATCAGACTCTCCTTTCACCACCAGATACATCCACAACTGAGTGTCCTTTCGGCTTTGACCCAGTCGCTTCATTCTTTCTGGCACTACTAGTACTAGCCCTCTGCTCTTCCCCAGGAGCATATTGGACACCTTCCGACCTGAGGGGCTCATCTTCTGGCATCATATCTTTTTGCCTTTTGGTACTGTCTATGGGGCTTTCATGGCAAGGATACTGGAGTGGGTTGCCATTTCCTTCTCCAGTGGATCACGTTTTGTCAGAGCTCTCTGCTATGACCTGTCCGTTTTGGGTGACCCTGCACAGCATAGCTCATAGCTTCATTGAGCTACGCAAGCCCCTTTGCCACAGCAAGGCAGTGATCCATGAAGGAGAAGGGCACCATGCACAACCACAAATTATGTGATTATGTATACGGGCCATCATACCAATTACTGCTCTTCTGCTTCACACTGGCCCTCCTCCATACTCAGCTGCTGCTCCACATCCCCCCCGCCCTCCACTCACCTCTGATCATAATTTCTGCAGCACTTCTGAAGAAACATCAGGGTGTCCAAAGTTTGGCTTACAGCAGGCACTCCTCCCATTGGAGGAGCCTGTGGAAATCACCCCTGCCCCATAGCAAAGAGCGTGAGCTCAGTGCCAAGCAGTCCTGCTGCCCCCTCCTCCATAAGAAAGCAGAGTTAGGCAATGGTGCCAGGATGGATTAAACTACCAGCAGCCTGTAAACTGTTCTACTCATCCCCTACATTTCTTGTCGAGAACCTTTGCTTGTCTAGCCTCACTAGTTGGTGCAGACCCAGATGTGTGTTTTCAAGGATCCTACCACAATGTCTTTGAGGTTACAACAATGTTGCAACCTAAAATGTTTGCAGGGTATGAAGGGCACTAGTTGGGGACAAAGACCATTTCTCATACTCATATCTGGAAAGATGAAAAGAGCAACAATCTTGCGAGCTGTCTTAGCACAAATGTAAGGGTGAGTGTCTTGAAACCAGGAGGGAAAACATATTGAGTTCTAGCAAGAGGGGAATTGGGCTGCTTCTAGAAGGGAATGGAGGCTGATGGCAGAAATGGAGAGGAGGGTAAGGGCAAAGGCAGAGGAAGGAAATAGGGTTGTGTTGTCAGTGCACTAAGGTGGGTAGCAGAGAAAAAAAAGAGCAGAAGGAATAGGCAGCACAGTTGTTATAGCATGGCCATCAATGGAGCAAAACATAAACTATGAAATGTGGGGGAACTGGAATTAGAAAAATTTGCAGCCATTTAAACAGACTTCTGGTATAGTGGAGGAGACTGTGATTGGGGAAAATGGCAGATGAAACTTGGGAAGCAATAAACACATTATGGCCATGAAGCCATAGATCAATAGAAATAAAGGTGTTGGTATAGTAACAATGCAAGGAAAGCTGGTGATGAAGCAGCTACTCAGATAGAAGTGAGAAACTAGAACTGTCACAAAGGTGCTTGGGATACATGGCACCCAGTGGAAGTCTAAAAAGGGAGGAGGGTGAATGGTGGGGGGGGGGGGCAAAGGATGGAAAAGTAAAGCCCAAGTGAAGTTGGTCATTTGTTAGGTGCTCTGGTCTTTAAACCGCTCTGCATGGGTAAAATTCTCAGAAGAGTTAGCCTGTCATGCAAACCTGCTCACAGTGTTTTATACACCTCTGATGTCTCTTCAGCCTTTGCTATGTAGTACTCTTTTATGCATGCTCTGCTCATTGATTATACACTGAGGTGAGAAAAATATGCAAAATGAATATTGTGAACTGTGTATAACTGTGTATAACTGTAAATTATACAAATTGCAGCTACCATTTTGTGGACTTTATGAAGGGTGAAATAATTCAATTCAGTAAATGAGCAGATGACAAAAGAGGAGTCATCCAACAATCTATTAAACATAGATTGAACAAAATCACTGGTAACAGATTAATGCCAAATAAACCACAGCAACACATGTTATGTGAGAACATGGGTAATGTTAAGGCAGAAGACACAGAATTTAACACTGAGAAGTGCGAATAGGATAAACACTTGGTATGTTTTGAAGTAATGATACATGACAGTGGGCAAAGATGTATGTTAGAATGTAGGTACTGCTGGATAAAGCAGTGGGAGGAAGTCAAAAATCTTTCCTTTTCCTATACTTCCTCACTAAAAATGCAAAACACAATTTGCTAGTGGAGTTACCTCTGGCTTCGGAATTTCACTGGAGGAAATTCCCCTCCCTCTGACCCAAACTTCAAAATGCCTAGAACCAAAACTTTAAGGCATTTTTCTGAGATCATTTTTAAAATTTCAAATTTATCAACAGGCTGTGGCTCTTCTGGCTGCTTTTTCCTATGTGTGCACAGAGCAGACATAAACTTCAAGGTCTGAGGATGCAGCATCTGTCAATGAACTGTCCCCTCTCAGTTTGGCCCAGGCATAGGGATCTGTGGTAAAGGCTTGATGGACCTGGAGTAGGAAGTCTTGGTCCACAGTCCCCTGGAGAAAGTTGTAGGGGGTTAGCAGGGGTGTTGGAGAAGAATCCCCCATTGACTCATCCTTGTAGGCAAGTGCATCAGCATTCTTTACATTGGCTGGGTAGGTGATTTGGAAATTAAACTTGAAAAAAATAGTGCCCAATGTGCTTGCTGAGATCACAAGCACTTTACTGACTGGAAATATTCCAAATTCCTGTGATCTGTGTGTACTTGCACTGGGTGCTTTGTACCCTCCAGGTGGTGTTGCCACTCTTCAAAAGCCACTTTGATGGCAAATAACTCCTTATCCCAGATGTCACAATTGCACTCTGCAGGCATTAGTTGTTGAGAGTAGTAAGTACAAGGATGGAGGAGTTTCTGAGGGCCCTGGCACTTTGATAGCATTGCACCAATCTCTGGCTCAATGCACTGGCCTCCACTATGAAGGGTACATGCACTAAGACTGGGGTCACGGTGAATGTCACCTTCAACTTGTCAAAAGCTTCCTGAACCTCAGGGGTCCATAAAAACTTAGTCCCCTTCTTAAGGAGAGATGTGAGGAGAGTGACAAGCCCAGAAAAGCCCTGAACAAACCTTCTATAGAAACTGGCAACTCCTAGGAAACATTGGGCACCTTTGGTGTCCTGCAGGGGTGGTCCAATGTATAATGGCCTGGATTTGTGAGGATCCATCTGAAGGTCTGCTGCTGACACAATATAACCTGAAGCTGCCCAGACTCTGCCACTCAGGTAGCAAGACCATCATAAGCTTCATTGTTCACAGCAAGCTATACCAATAGTTGAGATTTTGACCTAAAGGCCCCCTCCAACCACCAAGCACATCCTGCCACACTGCTGTTGTTACAGTCCAGTCACATTTCATTATGTCCTAGGGAACCAAGTTATTGCTCTTTTCTGGTCTTCTGTTTGCTCATCCATAAAGTTTTACTATCGAAAAAGTATCTTTATTAAAAACAACAACAACAACAACAGGAATGAATTTTGTTTCAGAGGAAAGTAAGATTTGAAGTCCAGCAAATCTTCATGGAAATGGAGAATATCTAGAAATGTCTGAGAGGGATGTTTTGGTACTGCTTTTTGCGCATGGAATTGAAGCTCTCTATGAGCATTCTTGTTCTCCACCCATTTCCTCATGTCCCCACCCCAATGATATAGAAACAACTGATGTAGAGGCAGCTTTGCTAATCCACAGGCCATGTGGAGCTTTGCTATAGCAGCTGGACATAATTACCTATTAACATAAGGTGAAACAAACAATGGCCTGTTTGAATGAGCTTGACCTTGGCTTGTTCAACAAACTATGGTCAAACATTACACCCAAATGCAGAACAATAGGAAAAGTCTTAATGTACTAATTGCAATAAAAGGCTGAGTTCTTGACCACAACAACTACTACGATGGACATGTAAATTAGCTTAAAATAACCTAACTCATATTTCAGAACCAAACTAAAATTTCCACCCCACATTTTGCCATCCCATATCCAGGCTCATTTAAAAACAAAACAAAACAAAACAATTTCATAGGTGCAGATTGCTAAACTATAAGCAGCTTAGTAAGATACCTACAGCTCACAAGCTCTGGATACTAGCAAATGCAATCATGCAACACTAAGTGCAGAAAACTCACAGAAACCACATCGAGTTCCTCCTTCAAAGACAAAGCCATTAGGGACAGCTCCATAGCGCCGTAGATCTGAGAGTTTCCACTGCCCCATGACAGAGGGTGGGCTGTCCTTTGCTAGCACTAGAATATCATTGCAGAAGTGGAGAGTTGCTGGACCACTTTCCAGTTTTGTTCCAGGTGCTACCACAACATGAAACCTGTGGACTATAAAGAGGGGTGGGGATTGAAGGCAGAAGGTATTCATTATTTTGCCAGAAATAATCACATATTCAAAAACAATTTATACTCCAGTTAACCTTTTTATACCAAGTAATATTACTGTAATGAAATTTAAGTTAAAAATACTTCTCAAAGTGGTAAAACAGATAACCATGAAGGAAAAGTACATTTTTAAAAAAAGATTAAAAGCCTTTGGGGGGTGTTCCTTGGGTAAGGTCCCAAATGTACATGTTTTCCTTTGTTTGATAAGCCATTTTGAAAATGTATTTATCTATTTATTATATTTATATCCTGTCTTTTGCCTTTCAAGGAACTCAGAGCAGCTTACATCACTCTCTTCTTCCTGCTGTCAGAATTATCCCTACAACAGCCAACCTGTGAGCTAGGTTGAGCTGAGAGTCTGTGACTTGCCGAAAATTACTCAGTTGGCTCCATGGCTGAACAGGGACTAAACTCTGAGTCTCAAACCCACACTCTTAACTACTATACCACACTGACCCTCAAAATGGCAGTCACATCTTACTTGGCATTTGAGTAGCAAATTAAGGAGAATAGGTCTGTAAAGTATTAAGGAGACATTTAATTGAGACAGACAGTTACAGTTCTACCAACTTCCAATCTTTGCCCATACAGGAAGATTCGTATAACACACGAATCGTAAAACACACAGAACATAAATTTATACTCAAAGAGATACATATAAATATCCTATATACAACAGGGAGATCATGAGTGATCACAGATCCCTACTTATCCAAACAATACCACCCGTGCACAAGAGGGAGGTATTCGTAAGCATGGGGAAGCACAACATGTTGCAGAAGTACCAAAGATGAAAAAAAAAATATCTAAGGGATATTATTCAAATATCTTGAGCAGGCTTCACAGAGAGAGAAATGGAATGGAGTGTTCATGAAGAAGACAAAGTTAGATGACTGGAAACAAGAAAAGAGGGATGACACACAGCAATGTTTGCTGCAGATTCCCTGTGTGGATTCTAATGTGGATTCCTTTCATTATACTTTTCCAAGCTGGAATAAAAACTTGGTGTTCTCTCCCACCTGTTGCCTCAATCAACATTCATTCCCATTCACTGAATACTAGGACAGACAAGGAGTTCAGCCACAGCCTCCCTTGGTTTTCAGACAAGGCCCTCTAAACTAGGATGGCTGCAGTAGCAGTTGGGTCAGCGCACCTACAGCTGTATAAAACGGCTGGCTGAGAGTGAGTGAGCTCTCCCAGTGGGAGAAGCCCCAGTGACAAAATATCAACACACAAGTGAGTTAAGCAGTTGTGCAAGTCTGGCAAAAGGACGAGGAGACAGAGTTCTGTCCTCTCCTCTCACAATCAGCAAGTGTGAACTGAAAATTAATAACTAATAGTAAATCCCTCACCTTCTTCCAGTCAGACAGCAGCAACCCCACCTCAAGTTTTCCAAGTAAATAAAATAGTAAAACCAGTTAGGAGGTAGAAAATGAGCAGGGGCATGCCACATGCATGACCATTTGCCACCTGCACAGAAGTCATGACTATGTGCTTGTGTAATGAGCTCCTTGCTTTCAGGAAATAGGCTTGTTCCACTGAAGCCAAGGGAGAAAAGTGAAGAGAGGCAGAAAGCTGACAGAGCCCTTGGGACCAAATAACAAGGTCCCAATTCCAGGGCAACAGCTGCTCTGCTGTCTTGGGAAATGGAGGTCTCAGGGATCGAAATTATCTTTCCAAAGAAAAGAGAAATGATGCCTTAAACAGACCCATTCTTTGAAAGGCAAGCACTCATCCTTTTGCACAGGTGATGTGCCTCCAGAGGGGTTGTGGTAGTGGCAGATTCAATCATTAGACATATAACTGGGTTTGTGATCGCTGTGCAGACCGCATGGTAAATTACCTGTCTGGTGAGAAGGTTGTACATATCATACGCTTTCTAAATAGTGTTGAGGTAGAGTCAGTGGTTGTGGTCCATGTTGCTAATAGACAAGTGGGGAAATGCAGTTGTTGGATTCTAGAAACCAAATTTAGGTTGCTAGGTAGAAGACTGAAATCTAGGACCACCAAGGTGGCTTTCTCTGAAATGCAATCTGTTCCATGTGCATGGGCCAGCTGAACAAGCACAAAGTTAAATTAGGGAGGCCTCAAATAAAGGCAGTACTATAAAGATGGGTGACTTCAATACCCACAACATTTACTGGATAAATGCATTTTCCAGTTTAAACAAAGACATTACATTTCTCAATGTCCTAAATGACTGTTTTCTAGAACAAGTGACCCTGAAATATACCAGAGGCAGACAATCTGGTTTTTAATCCTGGGGGCGGGGGGAATTAGGGTTAGGGACCAAGTATGAGATGTAAATGTTATAGAACCAATTGGAAAATCATTGCAGTGCTATCAGATTCCATTCAGGTGGAAATTTGCTAAAAAGATCCAGCACAATCACATTTGACATCAAGAAGGAGACTTCTCTATACGAGAACTTTTAAAATGGAAGGGGAAAGGGGGAGTCAAGCAGGTCAAACATCTTCAGAATGCTTTGAAGTTACTCAAAAGCATGATACTAGAAGCTCAGATAGTATGTATGCAACAAGTTAGAAAACATAGCACTAAGTCCAAGGTGTTGCAGGATTGGTTAGTAACACCAAGGAACCTAGTAGAAAGAAGGCTTCCCTCAGAGAATGAAAGTCTTGCCCAATGAGGAAAATAAGAGGAATCACAAGCTTGCACAAGGGAGATGCAAGTAGTTGTTAAGAGATGTCAAAAGAAGTGGGAAAGCATATTTATGCTAACCACAAATAAATATCTAACTGTATCAGAAGCAAGATGCTCACTGGAGAGGCAGTTGGACCATTGGATGATAATGGAATTGAAGGAGTGCTAAAGGAGGATAAGGAGATTGAAGAGAAACTTAATGGAATCTTTTTATCTGTCCTCACAGATGAGGATACAAGACAGATACCTGTTCCTCAATTTTTGTATTCAGAAAAAGAATCTGAGGAATTAAAGCAAATAGTGATGACTTTTAGGGGAATGGCAACTTGAAGCAGCAGGGATCTTCACTGCTCTGTACCTTATCTCAGGCATTTATAAATTGTCTTTGAGAGGGTGTTTACCTCTCTAAATGGCAGGTGGGTTTGAAGAATTTTGGTCTATAGCTCTGATTACAGTGAGATAAGGTAAACTGAAACATGTTATAGGGTCAACCCCTCCTTATATACCTTTTCCCCCTTTCTCTTTCTCTTCTCTTTGTCTTTTTTGTACATATTGCCCCTTTTTACTTTATTTTAATTTTGTGCCAAGGAAATAATACTCTAACTGCTGCAACTTAGACTCTTAAGGTATTTTTGCTTGCATAGTTGGAAAGGACCCTGAAATGGACAATTTCTTGATGATTAATGATGCTTTAACTGAACTTTAACTCAATATTAACAGGTGTAAAGCTCTCTGATGTTTCTGTTTAAGAAATCAAGAATTGTGGACTGTGAAAACTAACCTTGGCATGGCTGAAAATATTAGAGCTGGGAGTGCTTCTGTGTTCATTTTGTGGCTTCTGCATTATGATGAAGAATAACTGTGCTCAGACCTGAGGCTGAGATTTTGGCAGCAATTCAGATTTTTAAAGCATTTTTGTTTACTTACTTGGAAAGGACTCTGAAACAGACACTGTCTTGATGTTCTGTTTGAACTTTAATAAGACTCTAACAGCTGTGAAGCTGTCCTATATCTTTATTTAAGAAACTAAGAATTATGGATACTGGAAACTGACCTTGATGCAGCTGAAGCTTTGGTGTGATGGGAGAGATGGCTGTCTCCCTTCATTTGTTCCCATTCTTTTATGGTGGTTGGATGTTTGAGTTGGGGAATCGCTGTATTTGTTGTCATTTTTGTTGCTTTAAAACTGATCTATACATGAGTTGCTTAAAGGACAACTATGCCTCCCAGACATCTTTGACTGCAGTTGGGACTTTGGGAGTCTGTGATTTCCCTGATCTCCTTCACTCCTGAGTCTTGAAAAAGGAGAGAACAAAGGCTGTGATGCAGAAATAAAATGAGTTGGAGACCATCAGCACCGTCTGTTGGACTTGGAGAAAAATGGAAGCCATAGCCTGCTATGGAAGCAACATGCAGAACTATGTCTCTTTTTAATGAATTAATCTAAACTAATATTTTAATTGAGACAGAATGTGACTAATAACTATAACACTTTTTAGAAAGCTGACTAACTGACTTAATCTATTTCTGCTGCTGCTGCTGCTGCTGCTTCTCCTTCTCCTTCTCCTTCTTCTTTTTTTTTTTTTTTTGACCTCTCCTCCCTAAACTCTTCTGTTTTAATGTTGTGTTAAGTTGTGGGCTTATTTATAGTTAGGAAAAAATGTGAAAGGCAGATGTGTGAAGGAGGAGGGGAGGAGAGAAGAATTAACTCAGGAAGGAAAGTCTGAATTGGATGCTGGATATTTGATGAAAAATTTGAAAAAAGATAATTGTCTAAGCTCCTTAAATTGACTAATAGAGGAAAAATGAAGATCATATCAATAAATATGAATGGAATGAACTCTCCTTCCAAATGAACTAAAGCTTTCAACTTTTTAAGCAAACAACAGGCAGATATAATATGTATTCAAGAAACTCATATAAAGAAAAAATGCATATATTTTGAACTATAAGAGGCTGGGTAAAGTGTGTGAAGCTGCAGCTGACACAAAAAAGAAAGGAGTGGCTATTTATATTAATAATCAAAGTTTACATGTTGTAGAAGCATTAAAAGATGGAGAAGGAAGATTTATTGTTCTGAAGATAAGACTTCCAAATGGGAAGACAAATATTGGCAACGATATATGCTTCGCATGGTGCAAAAGAGAAGTTTTATGATTTTTTTTCAATTGATATTGGATGAATGAAATTAAAGAGAGACTATTACCACCAACATGGCAGGAAGCTCATATAATACTGATACATACCCATGCTACCACATTCTTACCAACCTATTTCATTATTAAATGTGGACTACAAACTTTTTATTTCAATAATGTCAGAGAGACTAAGAAAATGTATAGAAAAACAGATTAATACAGATCAGACTGGATTTGTCCCAAAAACATATATGAAAGATAATATACATTTTGTGATGGATGCAATTGAATGGGTTAAGAAGAAGAAAGCTGCATTTATTTTTTTAGATGTGGAGAAAGCATTTTGTAATGTATCTTGATCTTTTTTAAGGAACACTCCCCAATATTTCTATTGTGGCTCAAGCTTTCTTAATTGGACTCCAGAAATTTATACCAAACACCATACTAAGATTTTAATTAACAGCATACTGATAGCTCCCAAATGGAGAAAGCAACAAACCAAGGATGTCCTTTATCGTCTCTTTTATTTATTCTTATAAATAATGCATTGGAAATTTTAGCAAAAAAGTCTTTAAAACAGGCAGAGAAAAATATAAAATGAAATGTTATGCTGATGACATAGTTCTGACCATTCTAAATTCACATCAGTTTATACAGTACATAATAGAGCAAATTGAAAAAAATTGGACTCTATTCGGGCTATAAGTTCAATAAGAAAAAATATACTAATATTTGCAACAAAGCAAGAAGAGGAAAATATATCACAGGACATAATGACATGCTATTTCAAGATAATAATCAAAGAGCATGGATGAAGATCCAAAAAGGCTTACAAAAATGAACTAAACTAAAATTATCACGGTTAGGAAGAATTTATATTATAAAAATGAATGTACTACCTAAATTGAACTTTCTATTTCAGATGATACCGATTGTCATACCAGGGAAAAACTCTCCAAGCAAAGACCACTAAATACCTTTATTTGAAATGGCAAAAAGCTGAAGATTAGACTTAAAATCCTTAAGGACGAAAAGGAGGGAGGAGGCCTTGCAGTACCTAATTTAAAACTATACTACTATGCATCTTGCCTGGTTTGTATTGCAGATTGAATTATAAATGCTAATGATAGGCGAGTGACGTTAGAAATTGCAGATCTTGTAGATGGAATACACAATCTCCTATGGGTTAAAGAGTGAGTTAAAAAGGCTCTGATATCAAATAATAACCGTGCATTAAAAGACAGCCTAATAAAAAATTAACATTCCATGAGGGAAAAAAATAGCCTTCCAATCTCTCCTCTGATGTCTCCAGTTGAAGCATATGGAATATACTTAACGAAAAATAATGATTTTATAACCTATTGAGATATGATTGATCAACAAGGACAGGTAAAATCTTGGCAACAACTAAAAGATAAAGGAAAAAAAAATATACAGTGGTTTGCTTATCACCAACTGATTTCAAGATTGAAAGGGGAAATACAATCAGAGAAGGTACTTTAACAGATTTGACAGAATTTGAACAGTCGATTATACAACAGAATGATCATCTATTAGGAAGACTGTACAAACAGTACAAGCATGACAGTGAAAACTAAGATTAGAACTATATGACAAAATCTTGGAGAAGAAATAACACCTTTTCAATTGGAGGCTTTATGGAAGAAAGATAATAGATTCACAGCTAGTCAAGCACTAACAGAAATTTGGTATAAGATGTTTTATCGGTGCTGCATTACTCCAAAAGATATTGAAAAAATAGGTAAGAATTACAATGGAAAATGTTGGAAACGTAACAGGTGGATGGCACGTTTTATCATATGTGGTGGACTTGTGAAATAAAAAGGTTTTGGAAGCTGATATAGCAGAAATACAAAAACCTTTAAAACTAAGTTTCCTATGAGTCCTAAGAATATGCTTTTGAATATAATGTGAGAGACTTTTTCAAAGAATATGTCAGAGTTATTTAAATATATGACAACTGCAGCAAGAATTACAATTGCTTATAAATGGAAATCACCAGAATCCTCAACATTTAAAGAATGGATAAATAAACTGGCAGAATAGGCAGCAATGGCAAAATTAACTAATTATGTAAAAAGAAGACTGGTTGAAGAATTTAATGACAAATGGAAATTCTATTATATGCAGTATGATAAATGGGATGTAAAAGGGAGTTCTTTAAAAAGTAGTTGAGGACTCAAAGTGATTGGAAAATGTGTTCGTGTACAGAATAATAACTTCTTCTTTTCTGAACTCCCATAGAGGGCGGAATGACAGAAAGATAGATAAATTTGAGGGTTTGAATGAATCGGTTGTACTTGTTTGAAACCCTTTGCTAACTTTATTCTACTTTACCTTATTTTACATATATTTTTCTTCTTTTTGTACTCTGTTTGTGTTAAGAAAATAAAATTTAAAAAACAAACAAGCAAATAGTGATGACAAGGGATGAAATCCTCAACCCTACTGACAAACTGAAAATTAATGAATCACTGAGCCCAGAAGGTATTCATCCTAAAATTCTGAACAAGCTCAAATATGAAACTGTTAAGATTCTTACAAAAATATCTGTTAAGTCCCTAACATCAGCCTCTGTAAGAGGGCTGGAGAATGGTCACCAATTGCACCATTAAAAAAAAAAAAGATTTGGGGGATCCAGGAAATTACAGGGCAGTTAGCTTAACATCTGTTCTTAGTAAATTGGTTGAAAGCCTTATTAAAGATAGAATCAGTAACCATACAGAAGGACAAGTCCTGATGAAGAAGAAACAACATGGCTTTCAGAAAGGTAAATTATACTCCACTAACCTGTTAGGGTTCTTTGATAGTTTCAATAAACATATGTACAAGGGGTGATCTGGTAAGCACTGTATACTTGGACTTCCAAAAGGCTCACCAAAGACTCCTGAGCAAGGTTAACAGTCATGGAATAAAGGCAGGGAGAATCCTCTGATGGATCAGTAACTGGTTAAAGAATAGAAAATGGGAATAAATGGGAAGTTTTCCTGATGAAGGGACATAAGCAGTGGGGTCCCACACAGTTCTGAATCAGAACCAATGTTCTTCAAACAATACATAAATGATCTGGAATTAGGAGTGAGAAGTGAAGTGGCTCAGTTTGCTGATGATATCACATTACTGAGGGTGGTGAAAACCAAAATGGGAGAATGTGCATAAAAATAGGAAATACAGTTCAATGCAAGCAAGTATAAAGTAATGCATATCTGGGCAAAAAATATCCCAGCTTTATTTATAAGTTGCTGATATCTGAGCTAGCAGTGACTGATTAAGAAAGGTATCTTTGGGTTGTGATTGACAGGTCAATGAAAATGTCATTGCTGTCCATGAACTTTCCTATGAAAAAGGCAAACTCCAAGTTAGGCATAATTAGGAAAGAAATGAAAACTAAACTGCAAAGATTGTACTCCCCCTATATAAAAGTATGATGCTGCCGTACATAGAACGTGGCATATGGTTCTTGTAACTGCACCTGAAAAAGGACATTATAGAGTGGGAAAACTTTTAGAAAAGGGCAACTAACATGATCAAGGTACGGAGCAATTCCCCTAAGACGACAGGTTCCAACAACTGAGATTGTTTATCTTAGAAAAAAGGCAAGTAAGAAGAGACCCAATAGATATGTTAAAATGATGCATGGTGTGGAAAAAGTGGAGAGGGAGACATTTTTCTCCCTCTCCCATGTACTAGAACCCTGGGTCATCCTATGAAGCTGATTGGTGGGAGACACAGAACAGATAAAAGGAAGTACTTCACACAGCAGTAGACAAACTATGGAATTTACTTCCAGGAGATATAGTGACGGCCATCTATTTGGATGATTTTAAAAGCCCCTGAGGCTTATGCGAATGGGGCAGCATACAAGTATCCCAAATGAATGAATGAATGGAGACTGGAAAAGTTCATGGAAGAGAAGGCTAGCAATGGCTGCTAGTCTTGAAGGCTGTAGGTGACCTCTGATAAAAAATGCAGCATGCCTCCATGTACCAGTTGCTGGGGAACTTCAGCAGGAGGGGGCTGCTTGAGGGATCCTGTGGCCAGTTGGTTTGCCACTTTGTGAAAAGAATGTCATTCTCAGAGCTCTGGACTTTGGAATCTCTGCTTGTGTATTAAGTTGTGAGTCTCCACCTATGCTCAAACTGTATATTGGCAAATAAATGCAAATAATACAGAATGCCAAATACCTCCAATGACCCAATTCCAAAGAAAACAAAACCTTGGTAAATGCTGGGCCCCTGGAAATTCTTAACACTGAGAGCAGCAGGGCATATGAAAGTGTATTGAAATGCAAACATTACCTTCACCTAAACTGTAGCGGATGCGTACATCCCAGGCATGCATAGTTTCCTTGTTCTCAAAACCCAGCATAACAACTTGTGTCAAACAGATGATGGCAAGAGTATGATTCAGACCCTCATAAGAGAGCCCAGGGTCTAAACCACAGATGTCTTCCAAAGTCACGCTGCTTCGTTCTTTTAATCCCTTCAGTCGTTCACACCTTTCCTTGTATATCAGCATGAGCAGACAATCTGAAAGATGGAAAACAAATCAAATACAGTCTAAATACGAAAACTGCAGTTTTAACTGCAATGCTGTCTGGAACTTATGCACAGTTCTATCCAGGGTGCTTTTTCCTGAATGTTTGCTTTTCAGATAAACTAGATTATAAAGTAGGGTTGACCAGATGTGCTCAATGGAAGAGCTACATATGGTAAATGTCAGGTGTTTGAGAGCCACAGGACGGTGCCCATGGGCAGTAGTGGCAGGTGGCAAGCAAAGAGCTGCATGCGGCTTGTGATTCTTGGTTGGGCCACCCCTGTTATAAAACGTCATCACAGCACTCAACAAAAAAAGAAAAAGAAATAATGGTAAATGTTTGTTCAAACATTGCCATGTACTACCAAAAAACCAAACCAAACCAAAAACCTACCCTCCACAAGAATATCACTGGGCAATCCAACTTTGCTGAAAAAGAAAATTCTATCACTCACATAATTACCTGCAAGACTTACTAGGTTAAAGCTATGGAATTTTTTTCCCTTGGATCTTCAGTTAAAAAAAATATTACTCCCAATACCTGTTTTCCAATTTTGTCATTACTAACGCTTCAGAAGAAAAACAAAAGAAATTTTCATTATACATATGCTATTACTGAAGACACTTCCTGTAAAAATAGCTAATAATTAACATCATAATTCTTTTAGGTAGTTATTTTTAAATGTAATTTTTATGCTTTCAAAACTGACCCTCTCAGCAAGGTGACAAAAATAAAAAGATGCTATCATAAAAACAACAAAAATGATAAAAGAGCAAGTTTAAGCAATATTAAGCAATTAACAAAAATTAAGAGGCCAGGAAGGATAAAACATGTCTTTGCATGGTAGCAAAAATATATTAATATAGGTTCACTTGAGCAACTTTGGAGCAGAAATTCCAATATGCAACACCATGATCAAGAAACATATCATCAGAATTAATTGTGATAATATAGTATACATACTCTTTATTTCTAAGACAAAAAGCAGCTTGATGATGCATTCTAAAAATGAATTCACAAACAGAATAGATTCCTGGAACCTTAGTAGCTAAATATCTTAATGGACCAGCTAAATATCTTAATAGAGAAGGCTTGGCACGGTCACTACAGAAAATGACCTATTTTTAGGGAACAATCCCATAACTGATGCCAATGGCACTGAAAGCAACTGAAGAGATTTAATAGGGAAGGCAGGAGTTACTCTTATGGTAACTTGGCCTAAAGGTTTTTAAGGTTTGAAAAATATAGACCAACATCCCGAATGTGACCTGGAAACAATCTGGTGACCAGCTAGGATGCTAAAGAATCAGTGTTACATGACCTTGTGGTCAGCCCTAGGGCACAACTAAGCAGTTAAGTTCTGGATCAGCAACTGTTTCTGAATTGCTTTGAAGGACAGTCCCACATACAGCTGGAAGAACATAGCCAATTTATTTTGTTTAGGACTTATATTATAAGCTGTCCAGAGATGACAGTGATGGGAGGCCTATAAATGCCACAAATAAATAAATAAAAAACATAGTCTTGGGAATTCAAAAGAAACACTGGGTTCAGGAGAACTCCCAAGAACAAGACTGCTTCTTGAGCAGAAGCATGATCTCCTGAAACTAGTATACCACCCAGATCAACAGGCCCATCCATTATCAGCATCCTGAATTGAGAATCCATTTATTCACCTGTTTCCAGTCCATTTCTGTTCCCTAGGAGCCACTCACAGAGGGTCCTGCCACAACTACTACAAAAACAAAGGGGAAATAGAATGGGGTGTCATCAGCATACTGATGGCACCTAGGGTTTCCAGGTGTCCCACTTTATAGTGAATAATTCTGAATTTTGGATAGCTGGCAGAGAGCATTTATCTGGAGTTATTCTCTATCTGATGGGTTGAAGACAGTCCAGAAAATTCCACTGCTGCAGAATGTAAACACTTGAGTGTTGGTGAGCATGAGGCAGTCAGATCATATAATGACTCTCCTGTGTCAGTTGTGCTGGTTACCAATGTGTTTCCAAGCTCAGTTTAAACTGCTGGGTTTGGCTGTTAAAGCTTTAAATGGTTTGGGGAAAAATTCTTGAAGGACTCCCTTCATACAGATCTGCCTGCATTTGTTAACAAGAGAGACCCTTCTCACTTGTGATAAGCACCACTGAGGTCCTAGGGGATGTGATGACCACTTCTACAGTGCCTTCCCACCATAGGAATGTTATCACTAGGGATTCATCAAAGCCCATCATTGCAGGCTTTTAAAAAGACCCTGCTTACTTAAACACTTTCTTTGTCCTTTCCCAGATTGTATATTATCAGAATGGGTTATACCTGCAATTTGTTGTTGGCTGTCTTATGCTGATGTTTGCCATTTCGAGAAACATTTGCTTCCATTATTATAGCATTGTTTTATTAATTATCTATTTAGAGTATTTGTATGCCATCTCATCGCATAGCCTCGGGATGGCTTACATAAAATAACATAAAACATAACATAAATAAAATTCAGATCCACCCTGGCTGCAGATTAAAACCTGTAAGCTGAAGTTAAAAGTTATTAAAATATTGTTGAAATAAAAAGGTCTTAGCCTGGCACCGAAAAACAAATAATGACGGCGCCAGGTGGACCTCTCTGGGGAGCGCATTCCATAGGCGGGACACCACTGCAGAGAATGCCCTCCTCCGGGTACTTTGCCTCCTAATGTCTTTCCCAGAGGCTTCCTGGAGGAGGGCCTCTGCTGCAAATCTCAGGGGGTGGGAGGACAAATATGGAAGAAGGCGTTCCTTTAGGTATGTAGGTCCCAAGCCGTTAAGGGCTTTATAGGTAATAACCAGCACCTTGAATTGAGCCCGGACTTTGATGGGAAGCCAGTGAAGCTGGTAGAGAACTGGAGTTATATGAGAGTAACGCCCAGCCCCCGTCAGCAACCTGGCTGCTCTATTTTGCACTATCTGAAGTATCCAGACTGTCTTCAAGGGCAGCCCCACAAAGAGTGCGTTACAGAAATCCAACCGGGAAGTAACCAATGCATGTGTCACTGTCGCTAGGCAATCATCCTCCAGGTAGGGATGCAGCTGATGGATTAACTGAAGCTGAAGGAAAGCGCTCCTTGCCACCGCAGTCACCTGAGCCTCCAGGGACAGCTCTGGGTCAAGGAGCACTCCCAAGCTACAGATCCTGTCCTTTAGAGGAAGTGCAACCCCATTCAGGGCAAGGTCCAAGTCACCTACCCAGGAGCTCGAACCACCCACCAACAGGACCTCCGTCTTGTCCAGACTGAGTTTCAGTTTATTGACCCTCATCCAGCCCATTACCTCGGCCAGGCATCGGTTCAGTACAGCCACTGCCTCATCTGGATCGGTTGAAAAAGAGAGGTAGAGCTGGGTATCATCAGCATACTGATGATTCCACAGCCCAATCCTCCTGATGACCTCTCCCAGCGGTTTCATGTAGATGTTGAATAGTAAGGGGGACAAAATGGACCCCTGTGGTATTCCATGGCATAACTGCCATGGTGCAGAGCCGAAGTCCCCCAGCACCACCTTCTGGAATCAGCCATCGAGGTAGGAGTGGAACCACTGCCAAGCAGTGTCTCCTACTTTCAGTCCCGCCAGCCTATCCAGAAGGTACCATGGTCGATGGTATTGAAAGCCACTGAGAGGTCCAGGAGGACCAACAGGGACGCACTCCCCCTGTCTCTCTCCCTGCACAGGTCATCATACAGGGCGACCAAGGCAGATTCAGTACCATACCCAGGTCTGAAGCCGGACTGAAATGGGTCCAGATAATCAGTCTCATCCAAGAGTGCTTGGAGTTGTCCCGCCACCACCCGTTCCAACACCTTGCCCAAAAACAGGATGTTGGCCACCGGTCTATAATTGGCGGCCATCTCTGGATCCAGGGATGCCTTCTTTAGGACCGGCCTGACTACCGCCTCCTTTAGAGGAGCAGACACCCGGCCGTTCCTCAGAGAGGCGTTGATGACTTCCAGGATCCAGGCACCAATTCCGTGTTTGGCTTTGGTCAGCAGCCACGACAGGCAAGGGTCAAGTAAACAGGTGGTGGGACGTACTTGTCCAAGCACCTTATCCACATCATCAGGCCTCAATAACTGAAATTCATCCAATAATATCTGACCAGATGGAGTCATTGGCACCTCCCCTAGAGGATCTGAATCACTAGGGGAGTCCAGCTCGTGACAAATCTGAGTAATTTTCTCCTTAAAGTGCTGGGCAAAGTTGTCACAGTGGGCCATCGAGGGTGCTACGGGATCTTTCTTAGGGCCAGGATATACCAGCCCATGTACCACTTGAAAGAGCTTCGCTGGACGGCACTTTGAAGAGGCAATGGAAGTGGAGAAGAATTTCTTCTTCTCCGCCCTCACCACCACAGCATAGGCTCAATAATGAGCTTGTAAGCGTGCTCGGTCAGATTCATCCCGTGATTTCCTTCACCTATGCTCTAGATGTCTCCCAACATGCTTCATTGCCTGTAGTTCAGGTGTATACCATGGGGATGAATGGGCTCTGCCAGACGGGAGAGGAAGCTTAGGAGCGATCATGTCAATAGCTCTGGCCATTTCCCCATTTCACAGTTCAACCAGAGCATCAGCAGGAGCACCAGCTTTATATTATGATTATAATATGCATTTTAATGATGTATACCATCTGGGGAGAGCTCATGCCCTTAAAGGTAAACTATATAACTGCTGGGATAGATCATCCAGAAGTTTTGGCTATGGAGTCATCAGTATGCTGATGATAACTAGCTCTACCTTTCTTTTACCTCTAGTCCAGGTGGGGCACTGACTGTCCCTAACCAGATCCTAGCCTGGGTAAAGGGCTGGATGATGGCCAATAAATTGAGGCTCAATCCAGACAAGATGGAGGTCATGTTGGTGGGCAGTTCAGCCTTCCAAGTAAGTGATTTTAGCCCTGTTCTGGATGGGGTTGCACTCCCCTAAAGGATAGGGTTCACAGTTTGGGAGTGCTCCTCGACCCAGAGCTGT